AACCGAAATGGAACAAAAACGGCCTGTTACGGGATTAATCGGTTTTCAATGCACTGTAGGTCAATGGAGACTTGACCTACAGACTTTTTGACTTGAGAACCGCCTTCCATTACGGATTAAGTTCTCAAGTCAAGACCCCACTGTAATGAAAATCAGCTTAATTGTCAAATGTAGATTGAGACAAAGCTCGTGTTAAAACAAACAGATAGGCTTTTCCTCTTAAGAGTGTATTACTTCTGCATATGGAATCAGTGTTTCATGTAGTGAGTCCCTGTACACAGAAACTAAAATAGAGCAAGAGGACTCTGCGTCTTTAAAGCACATTTCCAGCTTTGTTTATCCCCTCTGCCATCATTTTATATTGCTGTTCCAGAGTGGTATTTATAACCTGTTATTCCTGTATACACAATTTGGAGAGGTGCATGGTTAAGTCACAGCCTACTATCTCCTGTAACTGACACATAAAACTGCTTAGTCATTCCAGATGTTTTTCCCTTCAAAACTAAGCAAATAAGTGTTTTGGCAGTTATAATAGGGGAAGTAATTTCCATGAGTCATTTGGATCTGTTTTGCCACTATAACCCACAAATCTACCATCCCTGTGGCACAGAAAAATGTTCATGCCTATAAAAATAAATGATACACATAACATTTAAAATGTGGGATTCAGTGTGCCCGTATGCAGTGGGAGCATTTGTCAGTAAATTCTACATGAATGAGATTTCCTTTCAACTCATTGCTAAGGACATTACCATTACACCTGCTTTGTTGTTTAGTCATTAAGTCATGTCCGACTCCTTGTGACCCCATGGACCAGAGCACGCCAGGCCCTCCTGTCTTCCACTGCTTCCTGGAGTTGGGTCAAATTCATGTTGGTAGCTTTGATGACACTGTCCAACCATCTCGTCCTCTGTCGTCCCCTTCTCCTCTTGCCTTCACCCTTTCCCAACATCAGGGTCTTTTCCAGGGAGTCTTCTCTTTTCATTAGATGGCCAAAGTATTGGAGCCTCAGCTTCGGAATCTGTCCTTCCAGTGAGCACTCAGGGTTGATTTCCTTCAGAATGGATAGGTTTGTTCTCCTTGCAGTCCAGGGGACTCTCAAGAGTCTCCCCCAGCACCAAAATTCAAAAGCATCAATTCTTCGGCGGTCTGCTTTCTTTATGGTCCAGCTCTCACTTCCATACATCGCTACTGGAAAAACCATAGCTTTGACTATGCAGACCTTTGTCGGCAAGATGATGTCTCTGCTTTTTAAGATGCTGTCAAGGTTTGTCATCGCTGTCCTCCCAAGAAACAGGGATCTTTTAATTTCGTGGCTGCTGTCACCATCTGCAGTGATCAGGGAGCCCAAGAAAGTAAAATCTGTCACTGCCTCCATATTTTCCCCTTCTATTTTCCAAGAGGTGATGGGATCAGTGGCCATGATCTTAGTTTCTTTAATGTTTTTACGTAGTCAATGAAGCAGAAGTAGATGTTTTTCTGGAACTCTATGGCTTTCTCCATAATCCAGCACATATTAGCAATTTGGTCACTAGTTCCTCTGCCCCTTCGGAATCCAGCTTGTACTTCTGGGAGTTCTTGGTCTACATAGTGCTGAAGCCTAATGTAGCGTTCACCCTAAGTTATGTAATAAGTTATGTATTATTCATGAGTTATATGCTAATGTGGTTAAGAGGTGGGGCCGATAGAAATGTTAAAAGCAGGGCCTGAGAGAGGAGGAGTCAGTTGAGTCTGAGTTCAGTCTGTGTTAGGAATCAGAGAGAGAAGGATAGTTTGGGATCTGAGTGATTAGTCTGAGTGTAAATCATGATAATAACTATAGAAGGTTAATATTGAAGCTTGATGAAACTTGAAGATTGTGCTTATGAATTGTTCCAGAAACCAACTGTAATCAATAAACCTGTTCTATTAAAAAGTCAATACCAAATGGACCTTAATCTTTTCTAAGTAAAGTAAGTTGATAAGGAGATCAGCTGGTGGCAGCGTGTCAGAAGGTGTTTTGGTTTGCCTTTGTGAGCTCTGGGTTTGGGGAAACAAGCAGTGGCCATACCTACCTTGTAGGATTTTGAGCATAACCTTGCTAGCGTGTGAAATGAGTGCAATTGTACGGTAGTTGGAGCATTCTTTGGCACTGCCCTTCTTTGAGATTGGGATACAGACTGATCTTTTCCAGTTCTATGGCCACTGCTGAGTTTTCCAAACTTGCTGGCATATTGAGTGTAGCACCTTAACTCACAGTTTAAAATTTTTAATAGTTCAACCGGAATGCCATCACCTCCACTGGCCTTGTTGTTAGCCATGCTTTCTAAGGCCCACTTGACTTCACTCTCCAGGATGTCTGGCTCAAGGTCAGCAACTACGTTGTCTGGGTTGTATGGGATATCCAAATCTTTCTGATATAATTCCTCTGTGTATTCTTGCCACCTCTTCTTGATGTCTTCTGCTTCTGTGAGGTCCCTTCCATTTCGTACTTTATCACGTCCATCTTGGCACAAAAGATTCCTTTAATATCTCGAATTTTCTTGAACAGATCTCCGGTTTTTCCCTTTCCATTATTTTCCTCTATTTCTTTGCACAGTTCATTTAAGAAAGCCCCTCTTGTCTCTCCTTGCTATTCTTTGGAAGTCTGCATTCCATGTTCTGTAACTTTCCCTATCTCCCTTGCATTTTATTTCCCTTCCCTTCTCGGCTATTTGGAAGGCCTCATTGGATAGTCACTTTGCTTTCTTGCATTTCTTTTTCTTTGGGATGGTTTTTGTTGCTGCCTCCTGGACAATGTTATGGGCCTCCATCCATAGTTCCTCAGGCAATCTGTCCACCAAATCTAGTTCCTTAAACTGTTCTTCACTTCTACTGTGTATTCATAAGGGATTTGGTTTAGATTTTACCTGACTAGCCCTGTGTTTTTTTCCTGCTTTCTTCAGTTTAAGCTTGAGTTTTGCTAGAAGAAGCTGATGATCAGAGCCACAGTCAGCTCCAGATCTTGTTTTTGCTGACTGTATAGATCTTCTCCATCTTTGGCTGTAGAGAATATAATTAATCTGATTTCGTTATTGCCCATCTGGTGATTTCCATGTATAGAGTCGCCTCTTGTGTTGTTGGGAAAGAGTCTTTGTGATGACCAGCTTGTTCTCTTGACAAAGTTCTATTAGCCTTTGCCCTGCTCCATTTTGAACTCCCAGGCCAAACTTTCTTGTAGTTCCTTTTATCTCTTGACTCCTGACTTTAGTATTCCAATCCCCTATAATGAGAAGAACATCTTTCTTTGGTGTCTGTTCTAGAAGGTGTTGTAAGTCTTCACAGAATTGGTCAGTTTCAGCCTCTTCAACATCGGTGGTTGGTGTATAAACTTGGATAACTGTGATGTTGAAAGGTCTGCCTTGGATTCCTATTGAAAGCATTCTGTCATTTTTGTATCCCATTACAGCTTTTCCCACTCTTTTGTTGACTATGAGGGCTACTCCATTCCTTCTATAGGATTCTTGCCCACAATAGTAGATAGTTCCTATGCAGTATTTTTCTTTGCAGCATCGGACTTTCCTTTCACTTCCAGGCACGTCCACAGCTGAGCGTCCTTTCGGCTTTTTGGCCCAACCACTTCATTAGCTTTGGAGCTACTTGTACTTGTCCTCTGCTCTTCCTCAGTAGCATGTTGGATGCCTTCTGACCCGAGGAGCTCATCTTCCAGCGTCATATCTTTTAGCCTTTTGTTTCCGTTCATGGAGTTTTCTTGGCAAAGATACTGGAGTGGCTTGCCAGTTCCTGCTCCCGGTGGATTGCGTTTAGTCAGAACTCTCCACTATGACCTGTCCGTCTTGGGTGTCCCTGCACAACATAGCCCATAGCTTCTCTGAACTACTCAAGCCCCTTTGCCACGACAAGGTAGCAACCTATGAAGGGGTTACACCTGCTAACCCCACTGAAATACATTTTTCAGAGTAGATGCATAAAATCCAACTGCACTACAAACACTCTGCCAATTTTGTTTTATTATGCACTGCCATGAAATAGTCCACTTATTCTTTAACATTTGATCTTCGGAATATGTCTAGATGATGTTACTATTTATAATTTTCCCACCATGAGCACAGAGCAGTCAAACTAGATGTGATGTCAAAGTTGCATGGATATATCCTTGACATTTCAAGGGCAGGTGGGGCTAAACCCAATCACATTAAGGGTGACTTGGACCAGCAGTGTGACCCAGGGAAACCTCCATTTGTAGATTTGCCAGTGCATACCAGAGCTGGTATTAGCTGCAGCAAAGGTATAGGTTTTATTTCTCTCCCTTCTGAACGCTGTTCTTGAATCTTCTATAATGTGACTTACTTGTAGAAGCAGCCTGTTTCAAAACAAGGAACAGATCTTTGACCTCACATGCCTGTTGCAAAACAACTGCGCAGCACCACAAATATGTGGCAGGGAGAATCTGAAAAGGCTAGGTAGATTTCATAAGCACCTAAGAGCAGCCCTGCTGTGGCCAAGGACCCATTTAGTCCAGCTCCCTGTATCTCCCTGTGGCCCCACCAGATGCCTCTGGGATCACACAAGGCAACTAGATGCCTGTCTCCTGATACCCCTCCCCTGCATCTGGCATTTGGAGGTACCTTCCTTTGAAGTCTGGAGATTATACACCCCCATTTCAGTTGGGAATTTTTTGGGATTAAGGATGTCAAACTTTCATATTAAAGAAGACTGGTTATTCTGCAGTGAGTGGCCAAAAATCTAGAAGTGTGCATGCTTTATGGGTGGCTAGGCAACTTGGCAAAATCATGGAATAACATTGTTCTCAGAGTAGACATGCATTCACGGAAAGATTAATCTGTGGCAGAAGGACTAGTTCACCCGACCTACATTCTGAATAAGGAAATCGTGTGTATGGTTTTAAACCAAATGCAGAAAACAGGAAAGGTATCCATACTCTTAAACGGTTACTTCATTTTTCCACTTTGAAGGCAGTAAACAAAAAGCCAAAAGTTTATTGAAGCCAGTATACTTACTTTGCCAAGTGATTCATGAGCAAATGGAGCATCTGTCTGTTTTTCTCAGGGAGCCTGTGTATTAGGCTGTGGATCTCTGAGACTCTGGATTCTTGATTCTCCAGTTCTGCAACAAAACAAAGTATTTTTCACAGTTCATTTTGGTTTCAAAGACTGGACAACTGACAGCACAGTGCAGCCTTTAATCCTTAGATTTCTTTTAATGCCAATAGAGAAATATTCACTAAAACAGTAATAATAAAATGAAATACAATATAAGGATGTATGATTGTATGACTGCAAAGATCAACAAATTTGATCAGCATATTTTAATGGCGTATGTAGAAAAACTCAGACTTATCTTAAGGGAGTACTACTCTCCCTTTCCCTCCCCCTCCCTCACACACACATACACATGTTTATATCTTGGAACAGTACTTCATTTTAAATAGAGAAGTAGAATATAACGCTGCAAAAGCATTGTGACATTCATTCTCAAAATGCTTGAAAATTTACAAGTACCTAACTCAAGGAATTATGAACATTCACAGATGCCCAAAATCACTGCCACCTCCATCATGTCCACCCCGAAGAACATCATTTTGGAAGACCACACATAATTGGGGGTTGCAAGAGCAGAGGCAAGTCCACTATAACGCAGGTTATGCCCATGTTAAAAATGAAATGGCAAATGAAATTCCATCTCATGGAGGGAAGATGCTTCCAACTCCCCCCCCCACCCCAAATTCCTCTTGCTGCACAGCATGTAAGATGGCTCCTGAGGCACCAAAGGACATGTCAATTGTAGAACAATGATGATGACAACAACGAGGTTTTCTGTGACTTATTTGAGTACATAGCTAAACCACCATTCTCCTAACACCTTCCAGTCTCCTTAACACAAGAAGACAAAGATGTTGTCTTTAAGGAAACAACATGGGTAGGAACTCAGATTCTAGTTCTTTGATAGACAATGGATAGAAAATAAACTGGGGACTGTTGGCTCACAAAAATTAATGCAACTTTCCAATTTTACTGCCTGTTTCATAAGTACCATATTTTTCGCTCCATAAGACGCACCTCTCCATAAGACACACCAAATTTTTAGGAGAAGAAAACAAGGAAAAATTAATCTGTTTTCTTCTCCTAAAAATTTGGTGAGCCTTATGGAGAGGTCCGTCTTATGGAACACACCCTAGCCCCCTCTGTCCCCGTGGGGGGGTGGGGGGAGCCTCCAAAGGGTCCTAGGGTATGTTCCAGGACCCTTTGGAGGTTCCCCTGCCCCCCATGGGGACAGAGGGGGGAAAATCACCACCTTCAGGGACTCTTCTGAAGCTTCCCAAGACTCAAGAGTCCCAGAAGGTGGCAATTTCGCACCCTCCGGGCCCATCGGGGGAGTGGGGGGGAGTCTCCCAATGGTCCTGGAAAGCAAACCTGGACCCTTGGGAGGCTCCCCCCATCCCCCCAGGGGCCAGAGGGAGCAAAATCGCCACCTTCAGGGACTCTTCTGAAGCTTCCCAAGCCTCAAAAGGGTACTGGAAGCTGGCAATTTTCCCCTGCCAGCCCTGTGGGGGTGGGGGGAGCCTCCCAAGGGTCTTGGAAGGCAGACTTTGACCTTTGGGAGGCTCCCTCCACCCCACCCCCCGCAGGG